GCCATCGCCATCTCCACCAGTACCACGGCCACGCACCAGCATAGTGCTTCCAGTCGGCGCCATCGCGTTCCAATTGCTGGCCGTCGCTGCATCAAGCACTTGCTCCAGATGTGACGCTGGGGCCGCAGGCGCGGGGACACTGCTCCCACCGTTAGACACCAGGGCAAACCGTTCTCCATCGTCCAACGCTGCATCGAGCTCGTGGCTGTAGATGCTGTAGTGTGGGGACTCTGTCGGAACAGCTGATGAGCACTCGATGAAGCTAGTGTCACCACCGCCACCACTACCACCCCTGCCAATGCCACCTAGCAAAGCAATGTCCGTTGCCTCGTCAGGTTTGTCGAATGCCCCGTTTGCTATGGCCATGGGAACACAGCTGTAGAAGTCTTGCTGCTCGGGAATAGGCCATTCCCGGGGAGCGCTGTTGGGAAGAAGCGCCGGGCAAGCGGAGTCCAGGCTATCCACCGAGGTCTCGAGGCTCACTTTGATGGCGTGCTTCAGCGACTTGCGTCTACTCCTGGAGCTCGCTGCCTCGCCACTGCTTGTGCTGCCGATGCTGCCGATGCTGCCCGGCCCGCTGTACGACGTTTTGTATGCCAGCGGCGAGCCGATGTCGAGAAACGTTGCGCAGCCAGCCTCCATGATGTTGTGCGGACTCGCGTCTAGCGTCGTCATGGAAACAGCCGGCATGGTGTTGCCAAGCGTGATGCCGTCGGAGGCGCTACCGATGGCAACGGCACGGTTGGCAACCTCAAAGTCCGCTTCGGCGTAGATGTCGCAGTTCTCACAGGATCTCTGGGAACCATCTCCACCAGCACCGCCGACGTCTTGCACAGAACCTGGGCTGATAAACAAGCTGCTTTGTACGGCCATTCCACTCATCAACGGTCTACGAGACATCTCGTTTTTCTCCAGAGGCAGTGATTTTTCTGCAAGGGCATACAGAGAAGGCAGCAAAACCCAAAAATGGCCGCAAAAACTAACAAGTTAGCAATTGGTCTACCAGTGAATCAGGGAATCATGCAAAACACGTGTTTTTTGCTTTAAAAACTATGAGTGTTTTAGCCGATGTACATTACTATTGAATTGGCCGTCCCTAATTATCGATATTTTCTGTCTCCAAAAATGTGCTATCCATCTCAACTATGGATGGCTGAGCAAGTTCATTCTGGATATGGATGCCTCCTTAACTGTGAGGTGTCCAGCTCCTTTGCGAGTCTCAGTTTCACGTTGTCAAACTCATCAGGCATCTGATGGCTCCAGAACAGAGTGCCAGACCCCCCCCCCCCCCACTCCCCCAACACACACACACACACACATGCACCCCCCCCCCCCCCCAAACACACACGCATACACACACACACCGTTTGACCATTTGACGCCCATCGCCAGAGGCGATGATAGCGATGCTACAGCAGATGCCATAGCAGTTTGTGCTGGGATTGCACCATTCAACAGCTTGCAGGGCTGAAGAATTGACTGCCACTATTCAGCCTGGTCTTCACCACACAGCTATGAAGGAGCTTTTTCTGGCCAGTGCCCCCCCCCCTCCCCCTCCCACACACACACATACACTTACTTACTGCACAAGGGCAGAACAACAGAGACCAACAATTTTTTCTCGTTCTGCTAAAAAAAGAGTTTTGGTCGGTGTTGTTCTGCCTTTGTGTAGTACGTACCACGGCTGTTTTTTTTCGCGAAATTGCGACATTTAACAAGATGGCAGCCAAAAGTCTCGATTGGGCTGGATCGGCAAGGAAATTTGAATTTTCAAATTCTCAGCAGCCGATTTCGCTGTGGTTTTCGCTGGATTTAGAAAGCTACCAGGCCAGGTTTACCCGGAAAACAGGTATTCCGTGTTCCTCTTGAAACTAGCTTTCCGCTGGTACCTCACATGGCCAACTTCGTCTCAGGAACAGTTTGTTCCGCGTTGCACAAGTCAAGCCTTCTTTCTCGCTCGTTCCTTGATTCATCGTTGACATGCCTGCGTCAAGAAGCCCTTTCAGGAATTTTCCCAGTCTAGCTTTCAGTTTTCCCAGGTAGAGGACTATATTCTGGCTATCTTCACCAAGTTTTATCACGGGCCGTGCACAAACTTCAGGTCCCGTGCGTTCGATGCTGAGCTACCTTTTCATGCGATTTAGGGGACAGATGGCATGGCGCTGGAGTCGCTGTTGAGTCCAAGAGGCCGAGGCCTGGTGGAAACTGCCCAGTAGACATGTGGGGTATTGCTGAAAAAGGCAGCAAGCACACAGATAGCCCCGAAATTGTGATGGAGATCCAATTGTGCGTTTGTTCGAGTGCATATCGGCAAATTGCACCCGTGATGCCGGCGAGGAGAAGCTGAAAATCAGTGCGTGCGTCAATATCCAGACTACCAGGGACAGCTTGGAGAGGTTCGAAAAGGTCAGGATGCTGGTTGACCACGGCAGGAGTTCCTTTTACCTTCCTTCTCTCTCAAATTGTCTGGATATTGAGTATCTCGCTCGAGCGCTTTCAAATATTAAATCCTGGTTTGACTTGGGAAATCGTGGAACCACACGGAGAGTGACATGAGTTTCATCCCAAAACGCAAACTCCCATCGTATTCATGAGGTTTGTACGGCGTTACGTAAATCGCACTAAACGACTCCATATTGTTAGATGTCCGTGCGCGAACAGCCGTGGTACGCTCTGCCCATTTTTAGGTATTGAGCACTAGTTGCAGCAAGGACGCCAGACACTACTTTGTCTACACTTTAATACTTACTGTACTCATTTCGCCTCTCAGGCTTCGAGCTGCCGGGGGGACTAGAAGCGTAGACCGGCGCAGTGTGATAGGCCGATGATCTTCGTGACATCGTGTTGTAAGGAAAGAGAGCGTCATGGTACAGCACCGGGGATGTACGTGCGGGTGTGGGCGAGTCACTCACAACTGAACTCCTGCCAGGACGATCGTAGCTGTGAGAGTTTTGGCCTGCCAGATACAAACACACACAGAAGCATATAACTGAACAGTTTGATTGCACAACGCTGTAAGCGGGCAATTTGAGAAACTGAGATACAGAGATCGATGCGATCAAAGGGTCTACGAGTGCCTTAAGGCAAAATGTCACACACGAAATTGGATTGAGAACCCCTTCAAAACTGTCGGGCAATGTCAGGGCTCACCACGACCATACAAAAAGCGTCGCCCACCATTTTGAAAAATGGCGATTGCCGCAGGGCAGCGTCCGTGCAGTCATAGCGGCTACGCACCCGAGTCCGTGCTGATCAATATACAGCGATGTACAGTCGAGTTGACAAATACCAGTATTTTACTACTCCCTGGTCTAGTCTGTCCAGCGAAGGGTCAGTGCCGAAGAGAATCTTGTTGTTTGATGCCGGGAAAGACACGAGGAGAAGACATCCTTTCTCCAAGCCATCTTGGTCATTTTTCTCAATCCGCTGGTGCACGTTGACCAAGATAAGTCCGTGAGATACTAGTGAACTGGAGTCCTGGCATCTACACGATTTCGCCGCGCCTAGCTAACCAATGTTTTCAGTAGATCTCAGCGTTTCCTGATCACGGCTCGGCACACTCTTTTCTGTTTGACCTCGCAGCTTTCACCCTGCTAGTGTGGAGTTTCCTTGCCACAAACGAATTCCTTAGTCATGACCATGATGACAAGTGACTGGTATGATCCCTGACTAGCCTGAGTCCTTAGCTTGAGTCAACACGAAGTTAAACTCTTCACTTGGGGTGCTTGCTGTTTCCTCGGTCCTTTCTTGTTGCACTTGCAGATATCCACACCGCAGCCAGGTTTTGTTGGTGCGCGCGGGAACGCATGGCCGACCTTGATGTATTCAAAAAGTAAAACAGCGGTTCTACTTGGCCGATTCTCACCGCCGATAGCTCATTTTCTCGATCTTGGAATTCTCCATTGGCTTACCGTCCCCGATTTCTGTTTTTCTCTTCATTTACTTGTTCGCACGTCTTCGAGTTTGAGTGATTTCACCATCCGATCTCAGCCAAAAGAAGGCCAAATCGAAAAATTCGAGACGGTAACCCTCCAAAGACACACCTTCTGAACACGAATCCACAAGGGCCTAATGTCTAAAACCAACGAGTACAGCCAAGTTCCGCTCAGAAAACACCCCACAACTGCAAGAAACGGCCCGTTTTGCCGTGCGCTGATTGGTCAAATCCAAATGACCGTTATTGCTTTGCACGGTCCCGGTGAGCCCGGAATGTGGGGTTAGACACAAATAACGCATAAAATGAACCGCGTTTTGGCCAGTATCCGAAAAGCGATGAAATGAATATACCTGAATAGTGTTTGTTTTTTTCGGACTCAAGACCGCCTTTCGTGCGGGCAGAACCTCTCTAATGCCGGGTGTGGTAAACTGGATGGTTACAGCTGTGCAAGCAATTTCACTCCGTGAGAGTGTTACGATCTCGAGCGTGAGCTCAGCGCTGGTGCGCGTTCCCTGGCTTGCAGCGCTGGGCTAGTGCATCCTGTGGTGCCGAGTGTGGGCTCAATGCGTTCGTCTCGTCAAGACCTTTCCAGGATGCCCAAGATCGTGGAAATTGTCAAATTCAAACCAAAGTAACGTCTAATTCTAGTTTCAGGTTTTGTGGTTGCGTGGGCTTGTATACATTTTAATTTGACAGTAAAGGGTTAAGCTAACCAAATCGGTCTCCATGCCGCTGTGGAGGGGAACACAAAACCGGCAAGTACACGCAGCATAGCATCATTTACCTGTGAATCCACGCGAGAAAGATCTGCCTTGTTTCCTGGACGACAAACTAAGCAGGAAGACGGTCGCCACGGCGACCACGAGGGTAGCGGCCAAAGCACCGATAGCGATCCACGCAGATCTATTGCTAGCGGTGGGGGAAGAAGCATGGTTGTCTGCGTCAGTGCCGATGTCAACTGACACGCTGCTGAGCCATACTGCTTGGGCTGTGCTCTGACGTGGCTCACGGGCATACGTTGCGATGCACTGGTAATGCCCACCGTCGATGTCGACAACACTGG